AAAAAAAAAAAAAAAAAAAGGACCAGCCTATCTAATATGTGAACACCCCTACCCCCGCTCCCATCTCTACTAAAAATACAAAAATCAGCCAGGTGTGGTGGCAGGTGCCAGCTACTTGGGAGGCTGAGGCAGGAGAATCGGGTTGAACTGGGGAGGCGGAGGTTGCAGTGAGCCACCAGCCTGGACGACACAGCAAGGCTCCGTCTCAATAGAAAAAAAAATAAGGACATGAGAGAAGGCAGCAAGGAAAACTGCCAAACTCTGATATGATTATATATGTTAACAGAATAACTAAATCTCAAAATGGTTTTAATTTCACAGATTAAATTCTATTTTGAAAAGGAAAAACTAAATCTATTTTTTTAAATGTACTTAATAAAAAGGAAAAAGTAAAAGACAGGAGAGGCCAGCACTGACAGCTCACAGGATCATCCCAGACTTACTGGATTGTCAATGTAAAGCATGGAGAGCGTTGTGGTCCAGGGGAAGTCTCTGTCACGCACTGTGAAATCAGAGAAGAGGGGTGAGATAGAGTGGACAAGCATTTCACCGAGGCCTCACAGTGGTCAGAAGCCCAACACACTCCCCGGTCCTCGTGAGCTGTTGGTGTCCCCTCTAACATGCTTCATACTGTCATAGTGGGGAACAGGCACCTGCACTTTTACCCTCTCCACTCCTCTCCTTCACGTTCCCCCAGCCCAGAGCGTTTCCACACCTGAGATAAAGCTTGGAAACAAAACCCAACGAAAGCTTGGAACATGAAAAAACACCCACCAACCACCTCTGCAATAATATCCGTATGTCCAATTAAATCAATCATCCTTAAGGCTCCATCTCTTGAAGAGAACTACTTCAACAAAACTGGCACATAAGCCTTTATACTGAGTCACAAACTGGCTCACACTCCAAATTCTAACCCAGGGGAAAGAAAACAAAATTAAAAAAAAAAAAATGAGATGAAGGTAAACTTAGTGACAGCCAGATGTTGCTCTTTATCCTTCCTCCACCTCAGCCCCCACCTGGAATAGCGTCTTGCTTCCAAGTTATCAGATCCTAAGTGTGACTGAACCACAAAGTGTGTAGTTCATGTGAGTAATTAGGAATATAATTCCACCCATTAGTCCCCTGCAAAGAACTGTCCCAAATTGTAATAAATACCAACTGTTCTGCAAACCCAGAATGCTTGAGTCAGCAGCAGACTGCAAGAAAGCGGATTAGAACTTTTCACCCAAATTTCAAGGGAGACAGCAGCCCAGTCAGGACACAGCCCTGAGGCTCCTCCTTCTCGGATGGACATTGCCAGAAAGTTGTGTTTTGGTAATCTGGAACAGTTAAGCTAGTCCTAGTGGTTCCGTGTTTACTCTAAATTAGTTTTGGAGCAGATATGAGGCTCAGATGAAAGATTCTATAGGAAATATAGTGCAAGGGATACTTACAGGTCAGGTTACTTGTGACAACATAAGGCCCATGTTCCACAAAGAGTCCAAACATGGATGAACCTCCTGGCCCACCCTGTAGCCAGAGAACTACTGGGGCATCTTCTGGCTGTATCTAGAGGAAACAATAAAACCAGTGACCACACGGAACACTCACTAAGGCTACAGAACACACACAAGTAAACTCACCCAAATCCTCTCTGTGTTACAGGGCTGTGACTAAATCCCATGAAACCTCCCCAGACCTCAGTAACCATTCGCCGCTATAAGCAAAGTACTGATCATCTTTGGTTCTGTGAATGAGACTGTGCCTCATATGCTGGTGTCTTCTTGTCATGCAGTCAAGTCCTTTCCCACCAAGAGACAGAAAGCCCCTTAAATGTAGATGCTTGGCTTGTGCATGCTGCCAGACACCTAGCATACTGCCTAGGGCATATTTTTTTAGCTGTTTAAACTAAAAAAGGGACTCTTTAGGACTCTTCCATTTGACATGCATATTCCCAACAGAGGCACAACAAAGAATCCATTCTCAGCGACACTTTCCCTTCTGCACTGAGAGCCCAAATGTCTTTCTGATTTTATTCACTAAGAACATGTTCATAGCTGGGCGCGGTGGCTCACGCCTGTAATCCCAGCACTTTGGGAGGCCAAGGCAGGCGGCCATCAACTGAGGTCAGGAGTTCGAGACCAGCCTGGCCAACATGGTGAAACTCTGTCTCTACTAAAAATACAAAAAATTAGCCAGGCATAGTGGCGCACACCTGTAATCGCAGCTACTTGGGAGGCTGAGACAAGAAAATCGCTTGAACCCTGGAGACGGAGGTTGCAGCGAGCCAAGATTGTGCCACTGCACTCCAGCCTGGGTGACAGAGCAAGACTCTGTCTCAAAAAAAAAAAAAAGAATGTGTTCATAGGGACAAGGACAACTTCATTCAACACCATGGAAAATGAGGAGGAGCAGACAGGCCCCAGGGGCCTTTAGCCAATACAAATAACAATGACGAATCCCTGAACAAGGTACAGATTTATTTAGGAGACGTGGGAGACATGAACTAGAAAGGGGTATTGGCAGGGCTGTGAGGTTGAAAATGAGCTCCTGGCCATAGTGTCAATACCATCACCTTCAATGACAGAGACTTTTTCAACTATTTCATTCAATGTGTATTTATTGAGCACCCATTATGGGCCAGGCACAGTGTCAGGAGCTAGGTACACAGAACAGTGAGTGAAGAAGAAAATGCATGTCCTCTTAGAACTTAGAATTGCATGGGCAATGTAGGCAGTAAGTAAGAAATAAAGACAAGGTTGGGCATGGTGGCTCACGCCTATAATCCCAATACTGTGGGAGGCCGAGGTGGGTGGATCACCTGAGTTTGGGAGTTCAAGACTAGCCTGAAACACGGCAAATCTCCGCTAAAAATAAAAAAATTAGCTGGGCGTGGTGGCGGGTGCCTGTAATCCCAGCTACTCGGGAGGCTGAGGTAGGAGAATCCCTTGAACCGGGGAGGTGGAGGTTGCAGTGAGCTGAGATACCACCACTGTACTCAAGCCTGCACAACAAGAGTGAAACTCTGTCTCAAATAAATAAATAAATAAATAAATAAATAAATAAAGACAATGATTGGAGAGTGTGAAAAGGAAATACACGTGATTTAAGAGTCACTGGAGGCTGAAAAGGAGAAGGTGACTAGCGAAGGCTTCAATGAGGTCTGAGTGCTGCCCTGAGCCCTGAAAGCTGAGAAGGATCCAGCCAGGAGCAGAGCCAGGGAGCAGAGCTGTGCACGAGGGAAACGACAAGGGAAACCCTCACAGACCTAGAAAGGGAAGAAGGCACAGTCGCCAGGCGAATCCTCCAGAACCACCTGAGAAAAGCTCTACTTGGCTCCCCGGCTTGGCTTCCAGCAGGACCTAACAGTGGGCCCTTGCATGATGGCCTGGCTCGCTGGATGGTTAGTCAGCAAGGATCCCCTGGCTTCAGCCCAGAATAAAATCCCGCCACCTCTGACTTGGCCTGGCTGTATAGACAAATCAAGATGTTGTTGGAAGGTCTGAGTGGATGCGTTCCATTGACCTGGATGGCGGGAGAAGGCTGAGGCAGAAGGCAAGACTGACTCAAAAGAAGGTAACTGGGATGCCACCGCCAAGACCTGCAGGAAGAGCTGAGCAGAGTTCTAACCATGACCACAGAGGGCACAGAGGAACTTCTCTTTCCCAGTCACCAAGAGCCTGACAGAGTCTTTCATGGCTTTGGAAGGGGCACAGGGGGACCTGCTACAAGATAGGGGCTGGTAAGAATGGCCATGAGCTGGGGCACACCCTTCCTATGAGGCGCCACCTCTCGGGCTCATTCTTGAGCGTTAACAAATTAAGCGACATAATTAAAGCCCTTGGAACAATGCCTAATGTATGATAAAAGCACAATAAATATAAATGATTATTATGACTAAGGAAACAGGTAGAAATGGTAGAAGCCCAGAGTCCTACTGGGGCCTCTGATGAGCAGGCCTGAAGCTCCAGGGGTCAGCGCAGTATTACATAATGAAGAAGCGCGGAAGCTCTTGCCCCAAACGGTTTGGATTCAAATCTAGGCTTTACTACCTAGCAGTGTGAAACTTTGGGCAAGTTGCCTAAGCTCTCTGGATCTCAGTTTCCCCACCCATAACAACAGGATCAATAGGCCAGGCACGGTGGCTCATGCCTGTAATCCCAGCACGTTGGGAGGCCGAGGTAGGCCGATTGCCAGA